TTCTCTGCTCTTTCATTTATCTTCAAAAAATATCTTCTTAAATATTAAGGTAAGTTTTCCTAAATTGCTGCTCTTTCTAGTTTAATTTCTCATGAATAACGGTTTCCTGTTACTTATAGAACTACTGCAAATGCCTGAGTCTTTTATATAAGACTCATGATCACCCTCCATGATCAGGCTTAAATCCTCCAGCATTAAGTATGCCTACAAGATTTCATAAATGATTGGTTTCTGTATTCTTCACAGCACCCATGTGCTATAATGAGTGTTTGTTCAGTGATATGGAATAGAATGCAATGGAATGAAATGAAATGTCAGATCCTTTGGCAGAATTATACCTAAACCTTCTCTGTAACATGAACATCTAGATCATTTTAAAGGTCACCAGATGAGGATATTTCACAATCTTGGCAACCCAAATGTCTGCCTTTAACTAACCTTCAAGGAAAGCATAGGTGACTGAGCTTCTAAGAGGCTACTCAGTTTGTATTAATCAGTATTCCACTTAGAACCTTCACTGAAGTCAGAATATAGAGTATATATTTACATCTGCTAATTCTAGTAATTTGCGAAGTCTTTGTTGATGCTGTCACCAACGTAATGTATCTATGAACAAAAGTCTAAATCTCTCAGAAGAATGGAAAACCTAGCAAGAAAACTGAGCTTTAAACTTCATCCCAGTCTCACTGTGCCAGGAGACAAAAGATTTCACTGTTAAATATTTTCCTTTTGATAAAAATGCCTTCCAAAATGGCAAACTTCTTTACTATTAATGAAAGCTCAAGGCTTTTACTCCTCAATAACATCATGCCACTCCTTCGAGGGAAAAACCTTTCATTCTTTATCAACATCACTAATAAATTCTATCCCTTAAGACAAAAATGACCAGCTGGAATTATATGTGATATATTTTTTCACAGGGGAATGAGAGGTTCGATTTGTTTACTCACCAGAGAGAATCACTCTTAGGTGCCTCAGATCTAAAGCAAACCTCTAAATACTCTCCCCAAAGCAATGTCTAAGAATGAATGGTTTATCCCAAATGTTGCAGCCAATTGAACTTTTCTCGGTTACCCAGACTAAAGGGTTTGGCTAGATTTAATAGTAACCACCATATAGGATCAACTGCTTTACCTTACCTAATTGCCAGGTTCAGTAAAAGTGACTTATCTTCCTGGCATTTCACAGTGTCTGAATTTCTAGCCTGCCTCATAATAAAATGCTGTTGAAATGAAGATAGCAAAGGATCCTGTCACAGAATATACAGAAGCATATCTGTAATATTCACAGTGTACTTGCAAGATTTGCAAACATTTTAATCTTGCCCTCCATTTGAGAGAGAGAACAGGTGACCTCTGATCTGAGTAGAATTTAAATCAATTCCCAGCAATAAAATCCATATCTTTTCTTTAATTTTTGTCATCTGCAATCATCTTTAAGAAAAAAAATGGCGATGGCACAAGGATTTAATGTCTATTTACACAAAGCTAAAAATAAATATTAGAAGTTTGGTGATACAGTAGATGGGAGTTGCTTTTGTGGGTACTCTAAGGTTACTGATGTATTTTGTTGTCAGAAGGAGAAATTTCCTTACTTTCAATGATTTACAATTCTTGGGAAGAAAAATTGAAAAGCGATTCAATGACTATATATATAGGGCTTTAGTTTGAACTCAGTTACCCAAAGAAGTAACATTTATTTTCTTTTGTTTTATGAAATGTGCCAAGACTAACAAAATAGTATTCCTTTAATTCTGTATGTATGTTCCTTTCAGTGTTAAAAGACAATATAATGTACATGTTTCATGTTTTAAATAAATTCAACTCTTTGCTAAATTGTTTGATGTTAAGTCACCTTCTTCTCGCCAAAATTGTTCTCAAGTAACAAAAGAGCATTATCAATTTTCAGGACTTGAATATAAATCTTCTTTCCTTTGTCTTAATTTTATTTTAAAATCTTTTGTCCTGAAGAGTGCTCAAATAGTTAAAAGTAGGAGTTGGCCTTACTCTCTGAGCCAGCAAGCCAATGCCTTCTGGCCTCTTTATGCCCTTTAAATAAATAAATAACTCCTGGATGTAAAATGTTCCATAACCAACTTGCATATAATCCTGTTGCCTTCTTTTGTTTCAAATTTTTTCTTCAAGGCAATTTCATACTCATTAGAAATGGCATACTTTCAAGTAATGAATCATCTATTGAAATTTTATGACAATATTTGTCGAACATTTTCCATTTCATTCACAAAACATTTCAGGTACCTGTCAGAAAATTAAGATCCTGGAGAGCTTGTGTCACCTTAATGAAGAGTCTATTCAGCATCCCAAGCTAAGAACTTCCCAGCTGCCCTAAGTTATCCATACTTAGCTATACTAACATTCTCCTTCCACTCCTCTTTTGGAGCTCTTCTTCCTGGCTTTCTCTTTACACTCCAGGCATCCGGCACCAGTGTCCTGCCTTCTGATGTTCAGTGTTACTTGGCCTAATCTTGGTCTTTTCTAAAATACTTCAAGTTCCAAAAGTATTGGACACATTAAAACTATGACTGGAAGGAACACTAGAAATACACTGACTCAGCACTTTTCTTTCCAAAGTAAAGATATAGAGAACCTGGGACATTAAGTGATGTTGGAAAATGACAATACAGTTAGTGGTAGAACTGAAGCTCGAACTCTGGCTTCTAGTGGGACAAGTTTGTCTTGGGTTAGATTCCTCCAAAAACACATCTTGAGCAAAAGACTTGGGAGCAAATGGTTTATTTGGAGGGTGAACCCTTAAGGCATTATGAGAGCATGGAGACATTCAGGAAGTTACCTTGTGTATATCTGGAGCTCAGTTCTACTGGGGAATCTCTGAAAGACTGTAGAGAATATATGTTAGAAATGTCCCACTATGGGACAAAGATTCTATGGGATTTCTCTATCGACTTTTACTCCTCATTGGCTAAGGGCAGCTCTGGCAGCACTAATTGCACCTCCTGTCCACCTTCAAACTGGCTGAAATGCTTCTGCACTAGAAATGCCCCCAGGGAGAGAGAAGCCACTGCTGTACATCAACCTTGTCCAATCCATGACCCAGGATGGCTTTGAATGTGGCCCAACACAAACTTGTAAACTTTCTTAAAATATTTTTGCAATTATTTCTTCTAGTTCACCAGCTATCGTTAGTGTTAGTATATTTTATGTGTGGCCCAAGACAATTCCTCCAATGTGGCCCAGGGAAGCCAACAGGTTGGACACCCCTGGTGTATATAGCCACTCTCTGCACGTAACTTCCAGTGTAGGCCAAGGGGAAAAGGGCAGATATAGTGTCAACCAGAGAAGCAAATGTGCCACAGAGCAAAAGTAGTACTATTAGAGAACTAGCACTGTACCTAACTTCTTCATCAGATGTTCAATTAGTACCTATGTGACAAGTAATCACAGTCACCATTTCTACCTAACTACAATACAGTTGTTGTTTTTTTCCTGATGGCATAGCAGATGAGGATTACCATAGTTACAGCTCTTCTTAAATGCTAGATCTTAAACTGCTGTGACCAAGGGACTCCTGGGGGTCAGTATAGTAAGAGCTGGCCCCATTTGCCATTGAAAACTGAAGCTCATTCAACTAACAAAAAAAAAAAAAAAAAAAAAAAAAAAAACCTCTAGAACTTAGAAATAAATGTATCTTTTATTTGCATGGAAAACTGTAAAACTATATCTGACTGAATATTATAAAAAGAGAGAATTAAGTTAGGCAAAAGGCAGATTTAGGAGGTATGAGGTAAAGGAGCAGATATTCCCTTTCAAAGCCATAAATCCAACAACCACAGATCATAAGTAGAGTTGCCAGATAAAATAAAGGACACTCAGCAAAACGTGAATTTCAGATAAACAATGAATAATCTGGGACACACACTGAGAAAATTATTTGTTGTTTATCTGAAATTTACATTTATGTAGGCTTCTTTTATTTTTGTTTGCTACATATGGCAACCCTAATCCTGGGACAACTACAAAGGATCTTCTGTATGTGTGTATCCTCATGAATTGAGCAGGAGTCTATTTCAACAATAAAACTCAGAGTTAATTGTAATATTTTATGGCATTGATTAAAATAAAGTACCCTCATAATTTTGGATCAGAAATATTATTGTAGAAGTCTCAATCACAGAAACAAAAAATAAGTGCTTTCTGGCAGCGAGGGAGTGTAACTGGAAATGTACAAGTAAACTGAAGAAACAAGATGAAAATATTAACATTTTTAAAATGTCATATTTTATAGAAAAGCAATGCTTCAGACCCTCATTTATCATCAAGCTTGGCCAGCTTCAAGTTACTATAAATTGAATGTAAAATTACATTAAAAAAATCATAGCCTTATTATTTAAATTTGTATTACAAGTAATCCCTATGAAGTCTTTCTTCCAGGAAAGCAAATTTTTAATAAATCACATATCCTGTACTGTTCTCATCCACAAATATGTTTGATTTCTTTTCCAAATACGAAAAGCCTAGTTATGTTGTATTTTTTAAAAAACAACAACAAATGTCTTAATCCATTTTGTGCTGCTATAACAAAAATAACTGAGACTGGGGTAATTTAGGAAGAACGTAAATTTATTTTTTCACAATTCTTGAGTCTGGGAAATCCAAGATCAAGGTGTTAGCATCTGGTGAGGGCCTTTTCAGAGTTTTCACATGGTGGTGCATGGTGGAGGGTCAAGAGACAGGAGAACACTGTGTGAAGCCTCTTTTATAAGGGCCTTGATCCTATTCATAAGGGAGAAGCCCTGATGGATTAATCACTCTTAAATATTCCACCTCTTAATACCATCACCTGAATTTTGGAGGGGACTCATTCGAGCTATTGCAACAAAGACGGTAAAAATAATTTTTAAACTATAGCTGACTTTAAGTTTTAATTTTCTCCCATCAACCGTATCATCTAGTTATTGTGTATAGATAATATACACAAAGTTTGCTTTCTAGTAGAAAGCATACAACATAAGATACACCTACCTTATGTTGTTGTACTTGGCGTTTTAGGTCTTCAAGATCAGGTCCAAGGGGCTCTTCCTCCATTTTCCTTGTTCTTTCTTCTGTTTTTGTCAGCCAGTCATTCAACTCTTTCAGTTTCTGATTCTGGAGTTCCATTAAAACTCTATGTAAACTGAAAATTTGAAAGAAGTCTATTATTACACCTCTTTTAAAACAACTTATTACTGAACATTGCAATGTAAAACAACAGAATTTATAATATAAGGAATGTTCACATTTGGGGGCATCTACTAGACATTGAGAAGGATGTAAGGAAAGCCCACTATCAATCGTCCCTGGAACTCTTATTTCTCAGACCTATAATCATTCACAAATCCTGATTTCTAAAAAGTTTCACATAACCAACTAAATGTGAACATGCTAACTGAAGTGCAAAGCATCTGATAACTGACTTAGTAGTATATTTTGGCAGTTGTTCATTTACATTCTCATTATTTAATACATGTGGTGGTTAAAGATGGCCACAAATTCTTTGTCCATCTTCCCTTCAAGAGGTGAGGTCTATTTTCCATCCCTGTGAATATGATCAGGACTTGTGACTTTTTTTTTGACCATAGAATGTGACATAACTGACACCACACCAAATCCAAGTGTAGGCTACAAAAGAACTGGCAGCATTTGTATTTTTCCTCTCTTGAAGCCTGGATTCCATGCTGTAAAGGAGGCCAGGATACACTACTGAATCATTAGAGATCATATAGGAGTGATTCTGGAGGATGAAATATTATATTAGAAGTGAGCTTCCAGCTCATTGCAGCCCAAGGAATGACCCCAGCTATAACACCAGTAATACAAAAACAACCTGGCTGAGCCCTGCTTATATTCTTGATCTTCAGAATCATGACGCAATTATAAATTGTTTTAACCCATTAAGTTTGGACACCATGTGACACACAATAATAGGTAAATGAAAGCATGCTTTTTTCCCCACAAAGATATAGAAAATAGTGGGCTGGGTAATGAATTTAAAGTCCAAAGGCCTAGGTTCACAGCCCAGCGGTAAGCTCTACAACCAGGTTCTTAAACGTTCTCAGTTACATTTCCAGCATCAGGGACATGGGATAATGCTCTGCCTATTAATTACACAAGTTTATGTTGAGGATGAAAATACATTAAGGTTCTTTCATTAATTCAACCAAAATTTGTAAATGGGAAGTGTTAATGGTTATTTCAAGAGAAATATTCTTTATAAATATCATGTTTAAAGTATTTTTCAAAACTATATTCTGAACATTGATCTTATAAACAGGATATAATTTGAATTAGGAATATATTATTTTGAATACATAATTGTATTCTAAAATCTTTAGTGGAAGTTTCCATTAATCACCACATTTAAACACACAAAGTGAACACATAGCTGAGAGTGTTTTTTAATAGACTTAATTTTTTGGTTTAGATTTACAAAAAATTAATGAGATTATAATACAAAGAGTTATCATAGAACTTGCACTCAGTCTCTTCCATTTTATTAACATCTTATATTATTATGGAACATTTGTTACAATTAATGAACCAATATTTGTGCATTATTATTAGCTGGAGTCTATATTGTATTCTGATTTCCTCAGATTTAAACTATTGTTTTTGTATTTCAGTATCTCTTCAATGATTCCATATTACACTCAATTGTCCTGATTCCTTAATCTGCTTTTGGCTATGATAGTTTCTCAGAATTTTTATGGCAGTTTTTAAAAGTGCTGACCAGGCTGGTATTTTGTAGTATGCCTCTTAGTGGGAATTTGTCTGAATTTTTTTTCCTCATAATTAAACTGGGGTTTTTGAAAGACCACAGAGGTAATGGGCCATTTTAATCACATTTTATCAAGCATATATACTCTCAACATGACTTATCAATGTTAACTTTGACCACGTGGCTAAAGTAACAGGTGTCACTATAAAGTTACTCTTTCCCCCTCCTTTTACACTATTTTTTAATAAGAAAGTCACTATACACAGTCCCCATGGAGTGGGGAGTTATATTCTCTTTCTGTGAGGGCAGAGAAGTTACATAAGTTATTTGGAGTTTTTTCTGCGTTGGAGATTTGTCTCTATTCCTCCATTTATTTATGAAATTACTTATTTATATAACATGGCCTCATGTATAGTTATTTGATACTTTGGGCTAAATCCAGTATTAGTTTCTGCTTTGGATTTTTGCTCAAATAGTTCCAGCTTTGGACACTGGGAACTCTCTTGGTTGGTGACTGACATATCCCATTAAAGTTTTTTGTTTAGGGCAGGGCTGTAGAGTTGAGCATGTTCTTACTTTCTGGCACTACCAAATGCTTCAGGTTCATTTTCTATACTGACTTTCTTAGTTTTATAATCAGCCGTTTCTCCACAGTGTTCTAGTTCTTTTTTTTGGGGGGGGGGGATGTTACTGGAACCCAAGATCCTGTTGCTAGGTATGCTTGTTGCTTCTAGGGTGTTGTAGCTTACAGGACATCCGGGTTGACATAAAGAAGTGGATGTACGAGTGCATACTCACCCATAAATACTTCTTTACGTAATTACCTCATCTGTAGCAAGCTAAATATTAATCTATCCATATCTCTCCATCTTGTGACTTCTGTCCTTTATCTGTGAACTACCTCTTCAACAGTAAGAATTTGACTTAAATTAGAAGTTGTTACAAGAAACTCAAAAATGATTTCTTTAAACTAGAAGCTGAGATGACCCCTGTTCCATGTTTGGCTCCTTGTGCTGCTGAATCCACAGAGAAAGGGGTTACCACACAGAACCTAAGCACAAATGGTCAACTGAGTTCATCCTATACAATGTGGGGCAAGTAGGACTACATCAGAAAATTACAGGCATTTGCCAGGAGTCTCTTAGTATCCCCATATACAATAATGTTAACCAATAAAAAAATAAATAAATAAAAATTTTAAAAAAACAAACAAGATACTCAATCGATATGGAACCACTAATAATATGGTTCTTTGGAAGGATGTTTTTGATTTCCCACTAAGGTGAATGGCCAGGAGTCTCTTAGTATCCCCATATACAATAGTGTTAACCAATATTAAAAAAAAAAAAAAAAAAAGCAGAAGATACTCGATCGATATGGAACCACTAATAATACGGTTCTCTGGAAGGATGTCTTTGATTTCCCACTAAGGTCAATGTCTGCAACTAGAAGAAATTCTGTCATAGTAACCAAGACAGCATTGTATTAGCATAAAAACAAATTAATGGAACATAGTAACAGAACCCAGGAATAAATCCATGCATTTGCATTCAACTGATTTTTGACATGGGTGTCAAGAACACACCATGAGGACAGGACACCCTCTTCAGCAAATGCTACTGAGAAAAGTAAGAATCTACAAGCAGAAGAATGAAATTAGACCCTTATCCCTTGCCACATACAAAAACCAATTTGAAATGGATTAAAAACTTAAATGTGAGACTCAAAACTATCAACCTATTAGTAGAAAACATAGAGGACAAGCTTCATCACAATTATTTGGGCAATAACTTTTGAATATGACTTTTAAAGCACAAGCAACAAAAGCAAAAATCGACTGAGGACTTACACCAAACTAAAAATCTCTGCACAGAAAAAAAATAAAATTAAAAATCAACAGAGTAAAGAGATAACCAATAGAATGAGAAAAATATTTGCAAACTATATATCTGATGGTGGTTCATATCAGAAATATATAAGAAATTCAAACAACCCCATAGCAAGAAAACAAATAACCTGATCAAAAATAGGCAAAAGACTAAAATAGACATTTATCATAAAAAGGACAAATGGATAACACGTATATGAAAAAATGCTCAACATCACTAATCATCTGGAAAATGCAAATTAAAACCACAATGAGGTATCACTTTACTTGCAAAGAAAAGGCAACACTTACACACTGTTGGTGGGAGTGTAAATTAGTTCAACTACTGTCGAAAATAGTGTGGTGATTCCACAAAAACCTAAAAACAGAAGTACCATTTGACCCAGCAATCCTATTGTTGGGTATATACTTAAAGGAATATAAATCATTCTACCAAAAGGACACATGCACACATATGTTCATGGCAGCACTATTCACAATCGCAAAGAGAATCAACCTAAATGCTCATCAATGGTAAACTGGATAAATATGGTAAATACATATTGTGGAATACTATGCAGCCATAAAAAAGAGTAAGATTATGTTCTTTGCAGGAACATAGATGAAGCTGGAGGCCATTATCCTTAGCAAAATAATGCAGAAAAAGAAAACCAAATATTCCATGTTCTCACTTGTAAGTGGGAGCTAAATGATGAGAACACATGGGCACATACAGAAGAACGACAGACATGGGGCCTATTGGAGTTTGGAGGGTGGCAGGAGAGAAAGGATTAGGAAAAATAACTAATGGGTACTAGGTTTATACCTGGTGATGAAATCATCTGTACAATAAACTTCCATGATACAAGTTTACCCATTTAACAAACCTGCACATGTACCCTTGCACTTAAAAGTTAAAATATAATAATAATTAACGATATCCTTGCCAAAAGAAACAAAAAGAGAGATAACACCTCACTTTCATTAGCATGGCTACTATCCAAAAGAAAAAAGATAAATGTTGATAACGATTTAGAAAAAAAGTCATCTATTACGTACCTGCAAAAGTTAAAAATTATAAATTAAGAAAAAACGAAAACCTTTACACATTGTAAATGGGAATGGCAATCAGTATAGGCATTATGGAAAACAGTATGAAGGTTCCTTGAAATATGAATAACAAAACTACTATGTGATACAAAATCCCACTATGAATTATATATATAAAGGAAATTAAATCAGTATGTCAAAGACATATCTGCACTACCATTTTTATTGCAGAACTATTCATAGCCAAGATATAGAATCAACGTAAATATCCACCAATATATGAATGGATAAAGAAAATGTGGTATACATATATACAATGGAATACTACTCAGCCATAAAAAAGAATAAAATACTGTCATTTGCAACAACATGCATGAACCTGGAGAATATTGTTAAGTGAAATAAGCCAGTACAGAAAGACAAGTACTGCCTAATCTCACTTATATGTGGAATCTAAAACAGCTGATCCCACAGAAGTAGACAATGAATAGTGGTTACCAGA